CAGGAGAGTCCAGGTCAGACTCGCCCCCAGCCCTCCACACTCCCCTGGCAGCGCCGCCTTCTCAGCGTCTCCTTTCAAACCCATGTTCTTGATGACCTCCCCCGGGGTCACTTCACTTTGACACAGATTTGGGACCCCACTCCCAGTGCTCACCTGGTAGGGGAGAGACCATGGGAGAGCCGTGGAAGGGGTGGTATCGGTGAGGGGCCGAGCCTCATAATGCCCGTAAACTCCGCGCATCTTGGCTCTAAAATCCTGATGAAGAGAGATTCAGGTGGGTTAGATTCAATCGGGAAACAAAACTAGGAGTGGGAAGGGAAGATGGTGGGGACAAGGAGGTCCGGGTTGAGCTCACACTGCGGAGCCTCTACCTGCACCGACCTACCTGGGAGGCTCCTGTTCTTTTTAACAGCACAGTAAGTAGGCATTATCATCCTGTCTACAGATGGGGAAACTGAGGCCCAAAGAGGCTAGGTAACATGTCTATAGTTACACAGGAAAATTAGAGACCACTCTTACCCCTAAAGGAATATCATAAAGATGAGTGAATGCACAGGAGCCCATCCGATCTGCCTCTAACACCATATGGTAGTTTTAAAGCTTATCTACAAATTCTTTGACACTTTTCTCATCAGGAGCTGGAATATACTCCTCCCCTTATGTAGCCTTAGTGTACATTCCTCACTGATAAGGAATAGAATGTATTAGAAGCAATGACACTAAGTTACTTCTAAGGTTAGGTCAGAATAGGTGATACCGTTTCTGCCTGGCTCTGTCTATGAACCAGCAGCCATTCTGTGAGGCAGCCCATGCCACACAGAGAGGCCACGGGTGGGTATTTGGGCTGCAGACTCCAGTGAGGACTCAAACAGGGTGGGCTTTGTGGGCGTGTGGCTCTTCCTGCAGTAGTCCAGCACCCTGAGTTCAGAAGGAACCCTCTGTTGCTGTCGTGAAAATCATAATAATTGCTGAACAGCGGGCCCTCATTTTCACTTTACACTGAGCTCTGCAAATCACATGGCCTGTGCTGTACCTAAATGACAGCCATCATCTACAGAAGTGAGAAAACCTTTGAAAAGGCTCCAGCCCCAGCTACTGACTCACCGAAAACCAATGAAAGACCCAAGGGAGGACCATGCAGCTGATCCCGTCAACTCCTGAACCACAAACGGTAATTGGGACAAGTCGCTGGTGTATTGCACCACGAGGTGTGGCACTGTGTGTGTTATAGGTCACTCTGTACACGGTGCACACTAGATTTTCATCAGCTCAGATGGCGTAACAAGCACCTCATCTACATCCAAACAATAGCAAACATCAGCCTGGGGAGGCCTGTTGTCATTGTTGATTCATTTGTTTGTTTTTAAAAGCAGAATGATAATAGACACAGAGCTATTCCAGACAGTGCTCAGAAATTCCTCACCTCTGGATTAGGCACCCAGGGGCAGATGTTTAAAACGGCGCATCAGAATGAGACTTCAACATTATCAACATTGCAAAATGTTGCCAACAAAACTGCTTATGTCAAGACAGAATCTAAATCGAATTCAGCCCCACGTCACCACCAAACAGAAGATGGGGCATTTGTGACCTACCTCCAGGTCTCTTTCCAGGTCATAGTTCTCCAGGGTCTGGAAGGCACTAGAATACACCTCCACTGCTTTGGCATGGAAGACCATCTCGATGGTTACAAAGTCTAAAAAAATTTTCTATAGGGAGAGAAGCCCGAAGCATATAACACTGTCAGAAGGAGAGTCTGGGGTCACCTCCTCTAAGGACAAATTAGGGGGCTGGGTGGAAGGCTCAGCTGTCCTTATGGGGACAGATCTTAGGTCAATATCTTATTTTTAATTTATGTTTATTTGAACAGATAATACATTTCCATTCAAAAGCTGCTTTGCCCAAGGATTGTTCTAGAAACACAGATTTGTTTCTCAGCAAGGACTTTCTGAGGGGTGTCCTTTGCTCAGCTGTCAACCTGGGCTCATCCACTCAGCCCTCGCTTCTCTCATTTGGAGGAATGTTTGCAGGTGTTTGCAGATTGATGGCTCCAAACCTTCAGCCTCTGTCACACATCGGCTGTGAGTGACTCTTCCGAGAGAGGGAGGGGTTGCTGTTGGTGGACATCACTCTGCTGAGAGGCCCTGCATCCTGATGAGTTAGCTTGTCAAAACGTAATTAGTGACAGAGATGTTGGCTTCTTTTGATCAGATGCTTAGGCTTGGCTTGTAAAGCTGCACGTTCAGCCCCAGTGGGGGCTCTTACTATGAGGGGGGGGCTAGCACAAGCTCCTACTGTGTGCAGGGGTCTAGCACAAGCTCCTACTGTACAGAGCCCTAAGAGCCCTAATACTACACAGGTTTAGTGTCAGGGGAGGAGCCTGCAGTTTGAAAACACACTACTTCAGGTAAATGAGAAGCACCTGAGGGAGGTGGGCCAAAGAAAGCCCACAAGGCAGCCTGGGAGGAGAACGAGAGCAGCCCAAGACTGAAGGGACTCCGGGCTTCTGCCTCCTCCTCTCCTGTGCCTGGGAGGCAGTGCCAGTGAGAGCGCTGTGAATCCAGAGGTGGGGTCAAGGCCGCATCCTGCCATTACTGGCACGGGGCCTGAGGAATGACTTATCCTCTCTGGCCTCAATTTATTCATCTGTACCAGAGGGACAGGTGGCCCCAGTTCACAGAGCCCCACAAGATTCAGTTAGCTCTCAGTCTGTGCTCCCTGCATCAGCACCAGCCCTACCCAGGAGCTTGTCAGAAATGGCAATTCTCCAGCCCACCCAGACCTGCCAGATGGGAATCCAGGGCAGGCCCATCAATCTGCATTTTAAAGAGCCCTCCAGGTGACTTCTGATGCACGCTCAGGTAGGTGAACCCCGGTATTATTTGCATTCTTTTATGGAACTATTTTGGAAATACGATCATTTTATTAGAAGTGTGACCTAAAACCAATATGGTGGTAATCATTATTTTAAGTTCTGATTTTTATCGCTTAAAATTCGGAGGGGTTTTTAGGGATGGTTTGGATAAGTGTCTCTTACAGAGTTAACTCCAGAAGTTGAAAAATCACCTGGTGGTTGTAGATCCTGCCTGAAACACAGATGCTCGAGTACTGATTACCACTGTTTCGCTCACTAGTGCATTTCTTCATTTATTTGTGCATTTCCCAAATATTTACTGAGTCTGTTAAGTGCCAGGCCCTGGACCTGGTGCCCAGGACCTAGCAGGGGACACGACAGGCAGAGGGCCTGCCCTGCGGACATGCAGTGTGGGAGGCAATCGTGGAACAGCGAGTTCCTCACGCCCTGACAAATGGCATACAGCATGGCGGAGGCCTGTGACAGCTCCTTGAGGTGTCAACTCCTTGACACAGGGAACTTGCTTTGCTGACTGTGATGTTCTCAGCCTCAGGCATAGCTCCTGGCACATAGTAGGTGTGTAGTCAACATTTGTTAGATTAACAAGCGAATTAAAGATACAATTAATACTAACTGCCCCCAGAGGGAAGAGAGAAAAGTGTATTAATAATGGGGCTGGACCAGTCTGGGGGTCCACGTGAGGAACGAAGAGTGTTAACTCACTGTAAAGTAAGGGCAGAGCCTTCTTGGCAGAAGGCACAGCCTGTGCAAAGACCCTGAGGTACCAAGGGGCTTGGTGCACTTGAGCTTGGAGTGGCACGTCCACAATGAGGCTGAAGGGCTGATCTGGAGCTTTGGAAGCCTTGGGGAGGACTTCGGCCTTTATCCTTGGAACTGAAGCCATGGGAGTGTGTGAAACTCAGGAGCGACATTGGAGCCGCCTTTTGTGAGATCCTTGGGGCTGTAATTTGGAAAATAGACTAGAGGGTTCATGTGGGTGTAGGGGTCTGTGTGATCAGCTTGTTTTTCAAGACCCCAATGCGCTGAGGCCCTTTTGTGAGAGCTGGGCTCTGGGCCCAGGGCCCTGGGCTGTGTCGGGGTGGTGTCCGGGTGGAAGGTGGGTGGGGCCCGTGCATTTAGAGCTTCATGGAGGAGGGAGGAAGTGGGCAGTCAGGGCAAGTTCTGTGGATTCCTGGTGTGGAAAGGAAGGGGGCTGGGGAAAGAAACTGCCAGGTTCTCCTGGTGGGGAGCTGGGCCTGGGTGTTGAGAGGGCAGGGCTGCCGAATGCTGGATTCCCCGGATGCCAGCTGTGCGGACAGCTGCCCCGAGCAGCCGGCCTCTTACCCTCGTGGCCAGGGTTAGGCTGGGATTAACTGTGCCGGGAGCGGAGTAGGTACAAGCTCAGATGCACAGTCACATGCTCACACACACATACGCACTCTCACACAGGAGACACACATGGACTCACACACAAGTGCACACACACAGGCACGCACGAGGCGGCCCCCAGTACCTCTCGCACAGGGCCCACCACCCCTACCTGTAGGTCCTTTAGCTTCTGCTTCTGGAAAGCATCGACTGTCTCCTCTAGCTGCTGGGTGGTGTGGCTGGCGTCCACCGAGGCCCTCTGCACGCTAGTCTCTGCCTGCCCCGGAGATAGAAAGTCTCAGGTGTACATCCATTCTGGATCATTCTCTGTCTCCTCGCCCTGCCTGTGGGCCAGCTCTCCTGACTCATGGGTGTCTTTTGCCAATTTGGTCATCAAAGGAATGGCCAAGTAGGACCATGGCTAAAGGGGCAGGTGCTGCTTAGACAGACTTGCTTGCTAGCTGTGTGACTTCAAGCAAATCACTTAACCTCTCTGAGCCTCAAATTCCTTGACTGTAAACGGGAGACAATTATGAGACCTGCTTTACAGGGTTCTAAGAATTAAACAATGGGCATCCACTGAGCTATTATTATAACAGGTGCTCTACATTAGACAATAATTCATTCCAGCATGTGGAACGTTCTTAGGTAATTAACTAATTTCTTGGTTCCTTTGATCGACATCTGTATGACCCGACTTTATACAGGCACGCTGAAACCTGGTTTTTAGAGTTGAGCGCCCTCAGCTGAGTTCTGGGTTTGCCCTGTTAACTCACTGTGTGGCCTTGGGCAAGTCACCTTCCTTAGCCTGAGTTTCCTTATCTAGAAGTGCCTACCTGGTGTGAGTGTTACATAGGTAACCTGAGAAGGGGTGGAGGTGAATGCTGACCTGTCAAATAGTGTCAAGGGTGGAACAGAACCCAGAGTTCCTGGCCCCCAGTGTCTGTCCCCCCACTCCTGACTCCCATCCTGAGCTCAGAGCCCAGCACACACCTGCCTAAGGAAAAGCTTACCTCGCCGTTTTGTGAGGTCATTCATTACCTGCGTGCAATTCTACCTTCCCCAGACAGACATGTGGCCCTCACCTGGGACTGAGGTGCTGTTAAGGAGCCAGGTAAACTAGCCACCCACACCAGAGGGTGCCCGTGACAAAGGGCCACCTGG